ATTGACCGGGCCGTGTCCATCTTGGACCAGTCCATGGCATTTGCTCTCTCCCAGGAGCCATATCGAAACGTCGTTGTCAAGGATCGCGCAGTCAACGGTACCGCAGTCAGTGAGAGCGCTGTCAAGGGCCCTACAGTCAACATTAATGCGGTTAATGGCGCTGGCATTAAAGCTCACTAGAGAATTGAGTTTAGGGGTTGAATTCATCTGCAAGTATGACAAAGAGATCTTATTCAACGGCGAGTGGTCGACGTCGAGACAAGACGTGTGATTTCTTCCCTCATTACATTTACTCCGAAAAGCTTATGAGAGACCTCCGCTCAGCTGTAGGTTCAGTCGCCAATCTCGTGGCTTATAAGTTATCGTCGTTGTCACTTAGTGTTATCGAAAAGCTCCCTATGCCATCATAGAACGTAGTACTTAGCATAAGAGATTAATGTACGTAGCATGGACTAGTAAATCTTAGTAGTGTCAAACTCCCTAAAAACTAGGTAAGACGAATCTTAAGGTACAGTAGAAGTTCAGTCTCGAGCTTAGGCAGGTTATACTAGAGGGAGATTCTGGAAGTGATAACGGGCAAGAAGCTATTGTTCTAGTCAACAGTAGTCTATAGTAGAGAAGTTACTAAGCGAGACCTATACTTTAGTGCCTCTCACTTTAATCCCTATTAGTAATCTGGAGAAGCGTAGCTAAGCTAGTATTACCAGTAAAACTAATAAAAAGGGCGTAATGTAATTAGTCCGCCTTATTAGAGCTAATTAATTAGCTATCAGGAATGCCTTACTGGAGATAGGTAGTGCTCAGCGATAGATCGATTATATAGTGTAATGGGGGAATCTACAGGCTGGTACGTAATTAGTGGAATTTACCTATATATTATATAGGTAAATATTTCTACCTCCTAATTAGCTAGATTTCTAATACTAAATCTAAGAGTTCTTTTCTTAGAGACTTTCTTAGAGGATTAATTCTTACTAAGTTCCCTTAACAAGAAGAGAATAGAGTAAGTAATTAATTAAGTAATGAAATCTATCTAATTAGGATAGAGCTCTCGCGCCGACTTTAAGAGAGCTCGGAGCTAAGAAGAACGACTAACTTCGGTATTAGAAACGGCCTTCATACGACCTAGAGCGCGGGGCGCCTAGAGGTAGGTCTACCGGGATGGTAGCCTAATAGTATAAGGCTAGGTTACGTACTATACGTAACTACTAGAAAAGGAAAGAGACGATATATTAATATATCGATATAGGCTATATTAATATATTAATATACTATTTCTAGTTACCTATTCGAAGTATACCTTATAAGTATATAGCTATACTTATTATCCTTTTATAGTTATACTCTCTCGTAGCTAACTTATAGTATCTACTTAACTATACTATTCTAAAGTTACTCGACTACTTATACCTTACGTATTCTCGACCTAGCTTATATAATAAAGGAACTATAACTAAGGAAGCCTAACCTCGTTAGGCTATATAGGAAGTAGCTCTGACATTCAGTTAATGACCCTCTACCTAATCTTCCGGCCGAGTCAATAATTATAAACGATCCTATTCGAGCTGAAAACTCGTTTCCTCTAAAACTTGAATATGTCACTCGTAGCCTAGAGGAAATCGTATAGGTATCACGAAGTCCGGCTACCTTAACCGGTAAGGCTAAGGAAGCGAGCCGCTAGTAGTCGGAGTGCCAGCTCATCGCCATGAAAAGGAGAGAGACATCTTAGTTCATTAGTAACTGACTCATCCAGCCTTTAGATACTGTACGATGTCTTCGACCAGACCATACTACACTACTCATACAGTAGGTTACTAAAAGTCACCGGATACTAGCCCCTTAGTACGCCTCCTGAATACTAACCCCCCATACACTTCATAGTTTTTTTCCATATATTTAATATAGTAGAATAGTATAAGTTATATTAATCGATAGCTTGAGAGAAACGCTTTTAGAATATCGCATCTTCTAGATTAAAACCTCGTATACCAGCCCTTAGCCTTAATAACTGCGTTAACTCTCTCGTTCATCGACTTAATGGTATTCCTGATCTTTACCTAGTCTAAACTAGCCTATGCCCTCGAGACGGCGTTTATAAAGCGATCGAGGGTATCCTATAAGCCCCCAGTTATATATCGAAGCACTAGATCGATGGCGTTTACTAGGCATTTAAGCTCGAACTAGAGGTTCTCGATAGGGTTTAAATCTAGCGAATACGGCGGCTAATCCATTATATCTATTCTATGATTCTCGAGCCATTCCTTAACCTTTTTAGTCTTATATATAGGCGCGTTATCCTATATAAATATCCTACTAGGCTACTAGACTACTAGGATATTATCTTCGAGAACTTAGAGGTAGGAATTAGCCGAATAGTCTATCTTTACTAACTCCTAGTCGCGCGAGAGAATATAAGCATCGGAAGATTCGCCTTCGCTAAAGATCGCTACCTATATTATAATTAAGATATCCTTACTTATACCCTTCTCAGTTATTATATCCTTATCCTACTTCTCCTAGGGTATACGAAAGACCTATTCGCCTTAAGTTCCACTACCGCGTTAAATAGAGTATTCGTCGCTCTAGATAACCTTAAGCTAATCTTCCTACGTCTAGTCCTAGTAGACTAGTACCCATTCGTACCTAGCTTTAGTAGATTAGTCCGTTAGTTTAGGACGCTTTTTAGCCATCCATTTCTTAATATAGTTATCACGAACACCTACGTGACACTGGACACTCGGCTTAGGCTACTAACTAGGGAGTTAGGCCGCCAGCTAAGTAGCTGGCTTACCGCATGTATATAGTAAGAGGGGTCATACCTATTAACCTTGAAGCCTTCTTTAAGCGTTAACATCTCTATCTATAGGCTAGTTATCTATCATTATTGATCCTATAGTATACACATTCACCCTCCAGTTAGGTAACGGGTCTGATACATTTCATCCCCTAAGTCATCTACTGTTAGGCGGAGGAGTTCGTAGGCGTACACTCAAAGGGAAACAAGACACGAGACTAGGGTGCTGAATTACTTCTGAGATAAAGGTACTTGTTCCAGGTAATGACAACTATATTGCAGCCACGTCGACTTCTCTCCTGCCCGATCATCAAGCCGACCGATCGGACTTCGATGGCGGTCGCCAGAACTGTCACCGCACAGGTAATAACTATGGCCAGGAGATGATGACACCACGAAGCCATCATATTATAGAGTCAAGGAGGTAGACAACTCGTCGATAGTGGACATGATTCTCAAAGGGATGGGAACGTATCTATCCGTCATCGAGAGCCAATCGTTTCGTAAGTATCAATTCCGCCAGGAAGGCGGGAAACGCAAATGGTTGGCTGGGCCTCGGCAGACTGAGTGAAAGCTTGCTTAAATCCCCACCATGTGAGGCTGGTCGTTATTGTTGCCTGTGCAGCGACCGTTATGGCGACCGCCTTGCAAAGCAGGCTGATGCCTCTTTGGTCGCCAGTATAACAACTAGGATTACCGGTTCAGTGTACTGTAGCCACATGCAGTAGGAACAAAGGACACTGACATTTGCGATGGACTTTCGAAGAGGAAGAACAGCGACCACGACACCTGTCCTCAGGAGAGAGAAGCCGCTCAAAGCAGAGAAGGAAGCTTGGAGCTTGGACGGAACAGCCCCTTTATTGTCTTTGACGATGCAGATGTCGATGTTGCCGTCGAGGCTGCCGTTACGGGTCAGTAGTAGCTAGCTCTCCCCGTCATGTTTTGTAGTGTACCGTCATAATACTAACTACCGGGAACAGCTAAGTTTAGAAACACCGGCGAGACGTACGTTACCGCCAATCGAATCTATGTGTAAGACGGCATCTATAATAAGTTTACTAAAGCCTTATCTAACACGATTTCGACTTTTAAGATCGGCCTAGGTACCTAAGTATCATAGTCTTATTATAATTCTGAAGAAGGAACGAGATATACTAATGAGGGTTATAGGACGGTATCTTCGTCGGACCCTTAACTTACGAGAACGTCCTATTAGAAGTGCTAATTTACAGTAAAGGTCTGACTTTATTCCGTAACGTGTAGTAATAACTAGAACGATACTAATCTAGATTATATAGAGGCTAAGAATGACGGGCGTAAGGTCATCCTGGATGGTAACCGAGTTAAGGGAACTAAAGGATACTATATCCAGTAGACTATTAATGTAGGTTAGTTTATCCTACTAATTCCGTAGGAGTAACCTTTCCGGCCCCTTTACGAGATACTAACTAGACCGGTACAGTAAAATAGATATACCCCGCGGTACTATCACCGAGCGAGGTAAAGTCTTCGACCCCGTCATCCCCTTATACCGCTTCTATACCGAGGAGGAAGTTATCGAACTAGCGAATAACGTCGACGTCGGGCTCGGTACCTTTATCATGACCTCTAGTATACTACGATAATGACGCGTGACCGAAGCTCTCGAGGTAAGCTATTTCTTCTCTTCCCCCTACTACTACCCCGACTTCGTCTTTACCCCTAGTAAATACTTTACTAATAATGCCTGACCTTATATCTACGCTTATATATAGGTCTATATCGTCGGCGTAAACATTAGTCTCCTCTTAGCCGTAGAGAACCCCTTCGGAGGCGTAAAGTAGTCCGGATTCGGTAGGGAAGGTAGACGTTAAGGCATTGACGAGTACCTCATTCTCAAGAGCATGTTCTTAAATGTTAGGAGTGGCTGAAGTCACCTTAGGAGAGGGGATGGAGAGCCTGCGAAGGTATGAGCTCGCAACTCCCATCACCCAGTATAACCTTCATCAATGGAATATTAGATTTCTTCACAGCCTCAGGTTGAGGTGCCCAGGATTTAAGCTCTTGTAAAGACTAACGAAAAAGCAGAGGATCAAGTCATTTATGCAAGCAATTTCTTGTTAGCACTTAGGGCCAACCACGTCCCACCAATGTCTGGCGGAACGGCCTCCTGACGAATTTCCAGAGCTAGTGCTCTCGGATTGTAAGAATCATTTTAATTAACGGCCTAGAGACTGGGTTTCTTCTGCAGCGCAAAGGCCGATACACTGCTAGCCACCAAGGCACCTTTATTGAATCGGTTCGGATATTTGTCCATCATTTTCCCGCTGAGTGATCTCGCATCATTAGCCTCCCCTGACTCAACCAGATATGCAAAATCCTTAATATATTGCTTTGTATTCTCCAAATGCCATGTTCCATGCATTTCTCCCGGTTTCTGATGCCCTGGAACGACCAATTCAGGCCGTAGGCCTTGCACCTTCTCGACTGCACGGATCCATTCCTCTCGGAGCTCTTTCTTGTTCGCAATTGCCAGCATTTGATGAACTTCCCCATAAACAACATCCCCGCACACCGCGAGCTTAAGATCGGGAACCCAAAGAATTGTGGAATGGTGAGTATCCGAATGCCCGACCTCAATAGCTTTAATGAGGTGATCTTCCAGCAAGAATTCACCAGACGCAGGTAGTTCACGGATAACGTCGAATCGGAATGGTTGGTCAATCTGATTGGGAAACTGCGAGTTCCATCTCTTGAAACCTTGAGGCGATGCTTCATCTCGCATGTGTGATATTGTCCCTTTAGTAGCAACGACAGTCAAGCCAGGAAACCGTGAAACTAATGTCGGGATGCCGAACCAGTGATCGCCATGGCCATGTGTGATGTATAAGCTGGTCAGTCGTTTCGACGGGCCCAAAGTTCTCGCAATCCAATCTGCCAATTCTCGAGTTTGCTCAGTAGTGATGGGGGTATCAACCAGGACAGCTTCCCGCTCCCCGTAGATCAGCGTGGAAGAGATGGGTGACCATGGTCCGCCTTCCACACCATTTGGCTTGTACCATGGGATAGCCGGTGCAACGTAAACTGCTGCTCGGAGGGAAGACATTTTGTTACACTGACCTAAGGTTCTATCATTCAAATCCATTTATATCGAATTATGAAAGTGATACGGAGTATATCCCTCGGACCGAGGTCAAGAAGAGGATTACTCATCACATTACGTCAGAATCCTTCAAGTTATCATAACACGGTGGACGCCCAGCATTCGCTCGAGGAATGGATGTAGGTAAGCCGACAGTCCAAGCAGGGAGTTGATATGTATCATTACTGAAATGCCACCAACCGCTCGCTTCTGCGTAAGGTACTGTTTTCACTGGCAGCAGCCTGTTTCGTTCTAGGGCTCCTTGTGGCAATTAGACGCCCCCTCTGTGTAGATTGTTGTCCAGGGGTCACATCTCGTTCGGAGCCCTGGTGACTTTTGCAGAACGAACGGAATGCAGAACACTCATCTTCGGGACTCGCCTTGTTTGGCGGTCCTTAGACGGTTGCAATCGTTCGCGGCTCAGATCACCTAATCCGCCCAACCCCATGGAGAAGCATTTCTTTCTCGGACAGGATATGAAGAACCTACTGCGACCGCCGCGTAGCCTTGGGTATATTCAGAAAATGCGTTCCTAGAGAATCCTCCTGGCCGACGACATTGACAGAAGTAGTGATGGAGGATGGGAGGTCGTAATAACGGGCACTAATCTCTGTGGCTCGAGGACGATATGCGGGGTTTCGAAATGGTCTGGTGGACTGAGGCAGAATCCACGCCTGAAAACATTCTTCGGGTTTTGGAGCCCTCCACACGTTATCAACTGTATCTCCCTCTGCTCTATTCACTCGGACACGCTAGGTGAGTCTCCTGACCCTGCCATTGATTGGTGCTCGGGAGCAAACTGGTGGTCAACGGTATCAAGTTCTTTTCAACATTATATGACGGTGGTTCGTCGGTGATCATCCTCCGGTAAACTATGAAAGTTCGTGGTTTATGACGCTATTTTGAGGTGTCTGAAAACGGTTGTCTAGTGGATCAGATGCTGACCGGAAATAGAATTCTACCCACCAATTCGAGAGGTTCGTCAGACTGCTGTAAAGTTACATTCTTTGTGGGCTTAGTTCGCTTAGGGGGAGATCACCATTCTCTTCGGACCACTAGTTATCGCAAGGGATGGACGAAGGCCCCCTAAATATTGAAGGCGCCTTAAAAGAGGTATTTAGTACGGAGGGGAGCATTCTCGACTATTCGTACGTAACATTAATAGGGACGATGATCGGTTTACCTATCGCTACGGTTTACGATAGTATCAGACCCGTTACCTAACTAGAGGGTGAATATATATACTATAGGATTAATAATGATAGATAACTAGCTAATAGATAGAGATATTAACGCTTAAAGAAGGTTAGGGTTAGGGTTAGGGTTAGGGTTAGGGTTAGGGTTAGGGTTAGGGTTAGGGTTAGGGTTAGGGTTAGGGTTAGGGTTAGGGTTAGGGTTA